TCGTATTGTAGTAAAAAACATTAATATTAGAAGTTATAAATTTTTATTATGCATGAACTTATATTTTAAATAATTCAAATAATATAAAAAGAAAGCCTACTCTTGTTTAAAGATACATTTTTTAAATAATTCTAATTGAAAAAATACTTGTATTACATTAAAAAAATATACACGAATTCACATAGTTAAAAAAATAAGTTTTTGAAATATTTATCTTAGATATCTTTTTAATAGTGTTTAACATTTTTTTAAATTATTTTTCTAATGAATTTTTTCTCTTTATTTATCTTTATTTTTTTTTTTTTATAAACGATTTAAATCTATCCTTATAGGATTGATTTATAATATTGATTACCCTTTACTTTATTTATAATATTGATTTTATATAAATGCTATCGAATAAAAAGCAAATATAATGTCTATATTAATTTAAATTAAAAGTAAATTATAGCGAATATTTGAAATTGTATTCGAATATATGAATTTATCATAAATTTAATTCATTTCATTCAATTTCATTAATATTAAATATTCTTTATTAAAAAATAGTGTTATTATATAAATATTTATTTTGTTAATACAAGTAAAATTACCACAAGACTAAAGATAAAAGATACGAATAATATACTTTACCTGAATTTCATCACCCGTTTCTTCTTCTTTAATTTTAATCGGCGTACAATTTTTTCTGGGCAAACGATTGACTCCATTATATTTGTGCGCGGACGAAAATACTTTCCGTGCGTTTTCTTCAACTTTTTTTACAAACGAATTAACTGGTCTATCGTCCATCACGAAATATGAACATAAATTCGAAAGTAATGTTTCTTTAAGCCTTGTAGTAAAATTTCAAGAAAATTAATATTAATATAATTCTTTATATCATATAATATCAAAATTCATTTCTTTCTTAATTATATCACATTCAATGAGAAAGCACTTAAAATTATTTTAAATAGAATTGCAATTTGCACTTTATTTTTGTATTTATTTATTTTTCAATGTCACTTGTTTATTGGTTAAATGTTATAAAACAAACTGTGCTGTTTCTGTAATGTAAATTCTTTTTCCTTTGTTCTCTTTTAATTCATTTACTGCACTCAATGTCAAGTACATCTGCATGTGACAAGTTCTACCTAATTCTAGTTTTGCAGATAGTTATGTATAATTATATTATAATTGTTATAATAATACGTTTTCAGATTAAAATTTGTTCTTATCGACAAAATTAAGTTACAAAATACAACACAATAAAATTAGAAAAGAATATAAGTAAATATGTTACTTTTGCATAAATACATTAATTTTTTGTATTTAATTCAGTCAAATTATGTATACACCAAGAAATATTTATCTGAATATAATTAATAAAATAATATACATATATAATGTTTTATTATATATTATTTTATTAATTATATTCAGATAAATGTTTCTTGATGTGTATATATATAATATATATATATGGATGTGTATGTATAAACAAGTGTTACTTTAAGAAAAGAAAAAAAAAAAATGATTTAAAATCTATTGAAGTTCAAGTTAAAATCTATTAATATTTGATTTTATATTTTCGTAGAATATTATTAAAAACTATATTTATAGGAAAAACCAAATAATTTATAAATCGATTCAATTGTTATAAATAATGTTTCAATTACTCATTAAGTATTAATAAAACATTATTTAGTTTTGCAATATTATTGCAACAGCGACAACAAGTAAAATTTGAATATTTTAAAGAAAATTTATACCGAACATATATATATTATATATATATATTCGAGTAGGTAGGTAGTACTAAAGCATCAAGCTGTGCCTAATCAAATTTCACTGATATTTTTAGGCCACTAAGGTAACACAACTTGCGTGAAAATAGATCGCATAAATAACTCGTCCAGTATCTTCTCCTTCTCACCAACTTAACAGAAAATTTCTTCGTACTTTTCAGACATTTATTTTTACACGATCCGTATGTTTCGTAGTTATCATTCAATAATAACCACATGTTTAAAACTTTTCAACATTATACAACGTACTTTTAGTGAAGATGATATGTTTCATGAAGATTTACAGATTAAAAGATTTCTTCTTTACATAAATGCAACGTGTGTCACTGAAATAAACAGAACATACACTAATAATCGAATATAGTTTGTTAAAAGAGCATCTCTTATTTATCAATCACGCATTATATTTTTTGATTTCCCAAGTTTCAAAGCAAAGTTATTATTTTTTTCGAATTGGAACATCCAATATCAAACAATTTTTAAATCAAGATTCAATTCTGATATACAATAAAAAAGACACAAAGAAAAGCAAGAAAAGAAAAACAAGATTTAATTTCATACGCGCACTTTTCTTAACTATAACAATTGTTTATAACGCTGATTATGCTATTATTTAAGTTTTGAAAATGAAATCCTGAGAAAACCTGATTGACATATAAGCTATGGATATAAAAATATTCGTGGAATTATTTCGTTACAAACCGTTCGCGTTCCTCTACAGGCGGTGATGATAACAACTGACATGTTACACCTACGGCCGCTCAGCGTCAACTAATGGTGAATTTTCGCAGTCTGTTAAATAACGCGAATTCAATATTACAAAATTTACACGTTCACCATTTTGTTACATTAAATATTATAAATTCATTTCCAATATTTTAGAAAATATATTTTTTAAACTTGTCTGATAAATATAAACTATATCAATGAGTCCAAATATAAAGTAATGACAGAAGTTGAAGATAGTACAAGGTGTTACAAAATTAAAAATTTGTTTATTTTTCCATATTATTTCTAAATACTTTTAGCTTTTTAATTTTCTTTCTTAACACTGTACTAACTAATTTTTTGGTTTAAAAACATCCATATTGAACAGACAATAAGAATTATAAAAAAATTAGTTTGATAATATCATGACATATGAATGTACACATAATGTTTCAAAAAACATTGAGCTTTTTAAAATTATATTACATGTGTTCCATTTTTTATATGAAATTTACATAAAAAGAGATCAATTAAATTTACTGTTGTAAAATTATTAGTTATTTACATATCTTGTTCTCTATTTAAAAAAATTATATGATAATATTAAAATTATCATAGTATAAGTATTTATCTTTTTATTGTCATTCAATATTTTTACAAGTAAACTAATAACTTTAAATACAAAAATAATATAATATATTGAAGAATTTTAAATAGATTTTAAAAAGGTACAGCATTATATAATAATTAGTTTGCTAAGTTATAGAAATATATTGGAATAAAAAATGTTTAAATTTGTTTAATTTCACCACTACAATGAGGACAACAAGTTATATTTGAATCACTTCGTGGAAGAAATATTTGGCCACCAATTGCAACAGCTGCTCCCATCACTGCACTACAAGCTACATCTCTTCCTGATGTGAGTAACTTTGGACTCATAAGGAGCTGTAGATAAATGGAAAAAATAAATGTACATAAAAAAAAACAAAGTAAATATAAATTATTTATATACTAAAAGTATTAATAAAAACTTACTTGCTCTGCAGTCTTTTCAGCAAAGGTTTTCATATCTAAGCCAGTTATATTAATTTCTTTTTGTAAATTAATATTTTCTACACCGCTTAATAATTGAACTTTTAGAATTTCTGCAAGTTGATAACACCCTTGTGCTAAATCTATTATGTTTGTACTTGGTAATTCATGTCTTTTACGAGAAACAGTTCCAACAGGATCAAAATTTTCACGCAAAATACTAAGTGTTCTGGAAAAAAAATATATAACATATAAATATATTTTACTACTTACTATTATATTACAGAAATATGTTCATTCATAAAAGAAATTTTTTATAAATATTTATAAAGACCACACCTGTATGTTTTAAGAGATATGTCTCTTACAAGATTTCTATCTTCTAGAAGTCTCTTTATTGATTCTTGGAGATCTGTAGTTCTTTGACAAAGAGCTGCTTTCCATTTTGCAAGTTCTTCAACCATTAAGCTATGAAAAGTTACTATAAATTAATTATATACAATTGTCAAATTTAAAAGACATGCTAAAATACATATGAATAGTAGTCTTAAAACTTATATTATTACATCATGTGAATATGAGTATGAGCTAGATAATTATGTTCAATTATTTTCATTTACCTACTGGCTAAGAATTTACTTCTCCAAACTTCACATTGGCCAGCCAACCATTCTGTTTGTTCTTGATGGGTTGAAAGATGTTGAGCAGAATTTAAAAGTGCTCGAGCAAGATGTAATTTGTCTTCAGTCAATAAATGAACTTTGGTTTCAAGATCTTCCCCAACTGCAGCTACTAACAAGTTTTTTAATTCTCCATTAACCTATTGTAAAGAAATTTATAATATAAATAGAATTATAAATAAAATCATAAAGATGTTATGTAATACATAAGAAGTGCAGTGTATTTTAAGATAAATATTTATTTTACTATTTTCTCATTATGTTTTTAAATAATATATAAGAATTAATTAAGTTTATGTCAATTTAATAATGAATGACATTAATACCTGTGCTTGAAATTTCAATTGATTTTCAAGTTGACTGTTTTCCTCCTTTAGCTTTTTTATTTCTGTTTCATATTCTTTTTTTTCTTTCAACCATTCACTTTCAAAACACTTATCATCCAATGTTTTTACATCATTACATGGTATTTTTGTTTCATGAAGTTTCATTGCAGCAACTTGAGATACAGTTGTGTTCACATTTAAATTACTTCTTTGTAATTTTTTATTCTTTTTTTCATATGGAATGATTGGATTGACTGCAGCTTTATAAGGTTCATAAGGGATGAATTTTGGTTCTTTTGATTTTAATGAATTCAAAATATGTTTCTCATCTTTCACATTACTAACATGTCTTGGTATTAAATTTACTATTGGACCATTTGGTGTAACTGGAGGGATTAAACTTAATTGCTTTAAATTTGTGGGATGATAAATTAATGTTTCACCAAGACGGCATTTTGTTTGTTTAATTTCAACTTTTTCAGTCATCACATTTTCCATTCCATCGCCTTGTGTGCGTTTAGTCCAACCCAAAGTTTGTAAATCTTCAATATTAATTAAATTACATTATTAACATATGATATGAAAAAGAAAAACTAATAAATATTTATATTCATATTTTACAGTACAATCATTCTGTCATTGCACTACTAAAATAATAAGTAAAATATTAACATGTATTTTATAATAATCATTGTTAAATGAAATAAATAAAAAAAATATACTTTATTATTTCTATAATGATAATATTACCATAAAACTATAAGAGTCTTAATTTATATGTATCATAACAAATATTCATAACATATTTCATATTAAATATAAGAAAAATAAAAATATGAATATATAAAAATACGTAAGTAAGAAAACAAATCAAAATAATATTTATTTTACAAATAAAAAAAATAAACATTTTATGAAAAAATGTACAAAAGTAAATAATGAAAGAGTAACTAACCTTGTGATTTAGTTTGAACATTATCTTTCATAGAATTAGTAGCCATTTTCACTTTAATTGTTTTTAAAAAGATTTTAATATCATTTTTGATAGAAATAATATATTTTTATCAACCATCAATATACTACTTGATGCATCAGTGAAATGTAGGGAACTCAAAATGATACAGTAAAATATGCACTACAAGTAATTATGGAAGTAAAAGAAAATTTTTATGTAGATTGTGGTACACATGCTAACAGTTACTTTTATTAAGTAATGTTCATTTTTACACCTTTCTAGATATTTTGAAATTAAACAACGTTCTTGTAAATAGTTTCTTGTAATTAAAGTACCGAATGATACTTAAAATAATTATCGAGGAATATTGTAATAACAATAAAAAATATAAAATTATAATGATTATGTGGAATGCACTGTTAGATTTTTTATTTGTATTATTGTCAATATAATATATCATACCATTTTATAATACAATTTCAGGAAATAATGATACAGAATGTCGTTAAGTATATTATTCTTATACTTTACATTAACATTTTTATTATAAATAATATTTTATTGAGGATATGTACAAAAATTGTAAATAAATATAATATATATTTTAACATAAATTGATTTATATCTAATAATAATATGATTCATAAAAATCACGAAAAAGACTGATTTCTATATAAATTTTCGTTTATCTAATATCGATATTCCTATTGTTATAAATTACTGGCAAATAGTTTCAAATTTTCATAGTTAATATTTAATCATGCATTTAATAAAATACAAAATATTTAAAAAAAGTTAAATTAACAAAATTCAATATAATATGTGAATTAAAAATTATAATTTTGTAATAATTAAAATTATAGTCGAAATTTAAAGCACTAAATAAATTGTAACCTCTTTCAAAAATTATACATTTTTAACTAAGAAAAGGAGATTTGTTATTAATATCACTTCATTAAGTACGGTAAGGTCTAGTAATTTACTAACTTGTAATAATAAATACAATAATATAATAATTCTATATATTTCAAATTGATATTAAAATGAATTATCATGAACTTGAATTTTGATTTCGAATATAATAGTAACATATATATTAAATAAATTGTAATAAAATTAATAAAATAATAAAAATATAATAACCAGCTTCAGCACGAAAATGGATAAGAAAACTTATAGAAAATATAAAAAAAGGATCGCTCAAGCTGTAGCTAAAGTTGATAATAAGGCACCAAAATTTGAAATACCCATTTATTACAAAATGTGTGATATAATAAATGATATAACTCGAATACGACAATTAGACAGAGAAAACATGGAATTAATAAGGCGGATGAATATAATTACCCGATTAGGAGTACGTATTAAAAATTTTATAGCTACAAATATTTTCTATTCTTGTTTATTATTGTCTTTTTATATTCCTAACATACCTGTATAATTACTTTCTGTTATTTTTAAAATCTGAAATTCATATCGTATACTTAAATAAAAAAGAAAAAATTGTGTTTTTATCTCGATTGTGTCTAATTATAGGGAAATATTGATTGTTGGTTACCAAAAATAAAATACACATCAAGACTTGAAAATCAGAAAATAAAAAATGGAATGATTATGAAACAAAATATACAATTATTACAAAAAATTCGTAGTGCAGATAGTAATTATTCTGCTGCAGAGTTTGTTCAAAATTGGAAAAAAATGAAAAAGAAAACACAGCATAGAAAAAGGCAAATCATTATTTTTTAAGTACTTCAGGGCTATACATTTTTGTACTTCGAAATTTATAAGAAATAATTTTGATATTGATTTTTTCAAAATGTATTTACAATATAATTATTATAACTACGTTATTTTTTGAAATTTTAATTAAAAAAAGGAACATATTTTTATTTTTAGCTTTTTACGATTGTGATAAAATTATAAATCATATACATATTCATAATTTGAAATAATTTTATTTACTTATGTGTGTATTTTATATTTTCAATCAAAAAATATGCGTTTACTTCATATTCTTCAATTTTCAACATAATATTTACACTAATAGCAAAAATGAAAATAAGAATACTGTAATAAAATATATTAAAATACAAAAGATAAATTATGAATTACATTATATATTATGTAAGCATTCAACAATATAGCAAATAATTCTTTTTAAATTCTATAGATATCCAGAACCTACAACTCAAATTATTGGCTTACAATCACATCAAGATCATTGTATGGTTAAAGATTTATCGTTGTTAAAAGAAATGAATCCATCTATTCGAACTAAATGTTTTATTGAAATTGAAATCCAAGGAGATAATCAAAATTTAGGATGCATTCAGTTTGAACTTTATGATGATATTGTACCTCGAACATGTACAAATTTTGTGGAATTGTGTCGTGGATATAATGGTTTATCATACAAGTAAATATTCATATGTACATATCTTGATAATACTTATTATCATTTAAATTTGTTCTAAACTATGAAAATAGCGATTTCAATAATCACGATGAATATTGCAAAATTGTATCTAATTCCTTTATGAAGTACATTGAATATTGAATATAAAACATATACATGTAATAAATGCATAACATATATACATAAGATAAATTATAGATACGCATATCAACATGATCATACGTGTATATATTATTTATTTATACACGATACAGAGATACATAATATAATTAAAGAATAATTACTTTTTTATGAAAAAATAAAACGAATTAACACATTATTTTAATCGAACAGATTTATTCAGATCATGTTATTTCCATTAGTTATTATTTTTTACAAGTATAGTGATATAACATAAAACATACAATTGTATTAAAAAACATTCATATTTTTCCTACTAGAAACACACCGTTTCATCGAATTGTTTCCGGTTATTGGTGTCAAGGTGGAGATGTTACAAAATTCAACGGAAGCGGAGGAATTTCCATATATGGCGAATCATTTGAGAATGAGAATTATAATTTACGTCATGCCGGTCCCGGAATTTTATCCATGTGTAACGAAAATGAAAATACAAGCAATTCCAAATTTAATCTTACTTTTAGACGATTGGAAACAGTAGATAAGAAAAATGTAGTTTTTGGAAAAGTAATTTCAGGTCTTTCAAATATTTATAAGGTAAATTTTTTCGGAGATATTAATAAATATATTTCATTAATAGATCTGTAGTCTTTAAATAGATTTTATACAATTATTTTTTAGGAGTTCAATGAGAACTTAAACATTAACTATCTTTTATCTTAAATAATTAGTTTCTACATTATTTTTAAAATAACAACAAACTAAAATTATAAAAATTAAATAGAATTTTATTGCAATAAACCTTATTTTAGAACATCAAAATATAAAAAAATATGCACAATTTTATTTTATACCTTCAGAATCAAAGAATTAATAAAAATTCACTTGGATATTATACTGCAAAAACATTCCTTTTTAATTTATTTACATTATAAAATCAAATATAAATAACATATTTAAAAAATATGATTGCTTAAGTAATAATTAGTAGTTATTACTATGTATTAATATAACATTTGATATTTATTAGATCGAAGAATTTGGTACAAAAACAGGTAAACCATTTAAAACTATAATTATATCAAATTGTGGTATTATATCAAGACATGTAGAAAGAATTCAGAAAAAACTGAGCAAGATATAAATAACTCAACCAACTATTAAATAAAAAAATTATAAATATTCCTTTAAGCTATGTAAGGAAATTCAATATGAACAATTTAATTATTTGTATTTATTTTAATGACAGGAAAACGTAATCATATCAATTATTCAATTTATTTTTCAGGTTTTCTTGTTTTGTACAGACATAGTAATTTGTATATTACGTAGAAGTATAATACATTTAGTAAAATATATAAGTATATAAATACGTTTTTATATATAATATTTGACAGTAAATCATAATTTGTAGTATTTCTTGCAACATTTGCTGTTTTTAATTAATTATTTATAAATACAATTATACATTAACTATTTTACATGTTATCTCTATTGCACTATATTAATGTCATAACTAATAAAAAAGTGAAATATATTTCGCACATAAGTATCATCTCCAGAAAATTACAATATTTGTGATTTTAGGAACATTAAATACGAGGAATATTTTTGAAATAGAATCTGTTTTAGAATTACTATCGAGCAGTTATCATAAATAGCTTTTTATTTTATCCATTTTTTATAGTTGAACATCAAGATTCTTTTATACATAATTTATTTTATTACTTAAATTTTAGGAATAATGATTTAAATATTCTTTTGACATATAAAATATATTTTTATATAAGATTGTAGTTATTCGATTTATTTATGAGAATAAGGCACTTTAAAATTTCTGTATATAATAAAAATCATTGTACTGATATCTTAAAATCGTTATTATAGTTAAAACAGAAGGTATAAATATAATGATTTAGTATAAAATAATATTAGCAATTAAGATTAAAACATAAGCATGGGGTCACGTTCATATCATAGTAATAAAAACCTCTATGTATTAGAAATAATTTGGTTTAATTCAATTAACTGCAAAGATTAAATTTATGTTTTTAAGCTGGTATTCTTTTTGGATTTAAGTCATACATTCGACGCATACGTTTCTTTAATTCTTGTGGAAATTTATCGTAACATTTTTTACAGGCTGGTTTCAAATCAAATTCAAAGAATTTAGTTTTCTGGTTCATTTTTTGGTCACAAAATGCACATGCAAAGTGATGAACGCACCATGCTTTGTTCAAAGCTGTAAAAACTGAAAAATTTATAAAATATCATGTATTTATCATCTTATTCATCATCTTTAATTTAACGATTTAAAATAAAATTTATATAATAATATACTCACCATCACCAGAAATTACTTGATTACATACAAAGCACAAATTGCCAAAAAGTTGATGGTAATGTGTTTCACAGTAAGCTAATCCTTTTTTCTCATAATGTCGATGACCTAAGAATGGTTTTTCACATTTTGCACAAACAAAATGTTCAACATGCCAATGTTTACCTAAAGCAGTTACTACTCGTTCCTCAATTGGACGTCGACATGCACCGCAAATTGGAATTCCCATTTTATCATGACATCTCAAACAATATAATTCATTCTAAAAGTATTAGTAATTAAAATGTAAACCAGTAATATATTGTAAAAAAAAAATACTTTAAGATGACATAATTATAAATACATACCATTTCATTAGCAGCATATCCTGGTCTAGAATTAACTTCTCTAGCATCTGAATTAAGTTCTATACCACAAGCTGTACAATTAAAATGATACGGATGATAGAGTTCCCCACGAAAACGAAGAGGTTTGTCATCAATCACCCCACTGAAAGTTAGATGATTTTATAAATATATAATACAATACTTAAATAATATAATTATACATATACACAATTACAAATTTAGTCACAGAAATAAAACCAAAATTCATACTGGCACTGATGACAAATATATTTTCCAAGTGCTCCAGCCTTAACACGTGCATTACATGTGTGACATAAAGCTCTACCCTGACATTTAATAAATCCTGCATCAGCCAATTCACCGTTACATTCTTCACAACGAAAACATCCTGGATGCCAATTAGCATTCATTGCTTTTATGACACGACCAATAACAAATTCTCCTACATACAAAGAAATATAAATTACTTTTAAAAATTTAAGTATTTTAAATGCTTCATTATTATAAGCAATTAAAACAACTTACCACATTTTTCACAACAAGGTGCAAATAAAACATGGAAATCATGTTCACAATACTTATACCCTTCAAATTCATAAAATATTCCATCTGGGAATGGACGAAAACATTGTGCACATCTAATAAAACGTTTTTTTATTATAATTTATTACAACTGAAGACAATGAAGATAAATTATTATATTTAAATTTTATATACTATAGATTGTTAAACTGTTTAAATTATATATAATTCACTTACAAGTTAATTTTAATAATAATTTAATATTCTTACACAAAGCATTGAGGATGCCACAACTCTCCATTAGAATTAACAATTTTCTCATGAGGTACAAAACCTTCTCTACATCGAGAACAAAACATATTATCCAAAGACATCTCTGTAACACTTTTTTGAAGATTATATTATTAATAAGAATATCTGCTAAATATAGCAAATTTTTAACACAAAATATTTATAAAAATTTGTATCATAAGTTAGCATCATAATTGATAATAGTCTATATTTTTTTAATTTAATAAATATGTATTAAAATTTCATTTGAATACAATTACAAAATGGAAAAAAGAAATTGAGTATAATTATTTACTAAAAAATTTAGTTATTATATAAATTTTATATAACTAAGTGTAATTAAGGTATAATTATATATTGATACAAGATCATAAAAGATACAAAACCAGAAAAATGTATTAACAATTTCTTTTTTTATTAATTATAAAACTTTCAATATCTTATGTAAAGGATATTTTATATTATAAGTTTGAAGTAGAATAATAAAAATAATTTATTTTTTACCATTATCACTATACAAGAATACGTTTTTTTTTTACAATAAACAAATATTGCAAATTTATACTATTATTTATACTATATTCAAGTTAACATTTCAAATATTTTATAATATCTGATTTAAAATTATATACCTTCAAATTAAATTTGTTGGTGGAAGATATCCTATAACACTATGTTTCACAAGAGAAATAATTGTGCTTACCCTGGCATTCTTTAATGATAAAGAAGAACTAATTAAATCGCACGACTTTTATCAATGTTTTTTTTTTATTAAAGAATATATCAATATTATATATTAGAGATTATTTTAAGAAGTACCTAGTATTTTTATAAACAAGAAATTTTCACTTTCTATGATAAAATTTTATATGGAATATACACAGTATTATAAATATAACTTTACTGTGATACAATGATTTATTATATATTTAGAACAAAAATTACGTCATCAAATAATGCTCCACCTTTTCTGCAATAATCATTTACCTACTGTGGCCAATCAGATGTTAGAAATGTAAATTGCCTTTTGTGAAATATTATTTCAAACAATGAAGTAGGATTATATAGATATGAAACTTCGAAGAATATTGAAGAAATGTCATCATTTTCTCTTATTTAATTCAAATAAATAGAGTTTTTTTAATTTTAATTCTTTATTTTTGTTAAAATATATCCATAAATATGAAATTTTATTTACCACCTTTCACATAAAATCATTTAATTAATTTATTTCTCGATTAATATTTACATTTTATATTTCTGGGGATGTTTTAAATAATATTAAAATTTTTAGAATATCTTTAAAAAATAAATAAGCAAAACTGTTACAAAAATTATAATTAAATATATAAACAACAAAAGATTGTTCCAAATTAACTTTTATTAATACAATTTTCAATGTTATGAGACCTTAAATTTACATAAGACCATTTAATATATAAATGACACGCTCATTTGAAGTAAAACACGTATTTGGAAAGCTGCATTAAAATAAGTTACTAATGGTATCATCTTTTTCTTAATTTTAACCTTACTTCAATATAAGTCTTTATTATTAAGCCTAATTCCTGACAAAATATCTCTTTCAGTGATATAAGTATTTATGTAAAAATACGTAAGTATTAACATAAGTATGATATAAAATAGAAATATCATTATCAAGTTGCATTTTATCTACTAGTTTATAGTATCTACTAGTTTATATATCTTTAATAAAATATAATATTAAAGATTTAATTAACTTTTTTTCAAGACTAGAATTTAGAAAAGTTAATGCATTGATGATTGTTTGAATTTCTGTTTTAAATATAATGTTCTAAATTTCACAATTACTGAAACAAGATGTTATTTAAAATAATATATTTCTAATGGTAATTCTATATGTATTACTAGTTATTACAGTAGTGTAACAATCTAAACGATTGTCAATACTCATATCTTTCATTACATATGCTGCATGTTGTGTTACAACATAATAGTACATTCAACTTAAATAGTTCTATGCGTATAGAACATGGATCTAAGGGTTCATCCATATAGAAACAATGAGTGAGTTCGAAATATTTTATTGATGGAAGTATTACGTAGTACGTAGAAGTATACTTTGTTAAACACAAGTCAGAAGTATTATAAAAATTATTTTAAATTCTAGTAATAACTAATAATAGAAATAACTAGGAAGGAATTAGAACCTAATTTTTAAAATCTTGAAACTCGAATCTGAAACTCTGTAAAATTTTGAAACTCTCGGAATTTCTTGAAATGTGAATATTATTTTGTAAAGAGAATATTTTGTATTAAATATTGAACTTATACCTTTGCAATTACAATTAAATGCTAATCTTTGTATACCTTAAAAATAATTTGGAATATATGTACATGAATCGAACATTTTCGAAGTTTTGTGTATGACTTTCATTGATTTTACATTTTATTTTGCCTGAATTTCAAAAATTTTTAATTAAGAGAAAAATTCAAAGTTTTCATTTCTCAAAATTCGAAACTTTTGAAAAACCATCCCTAGAAATATCTCAGTGTATATGTACTTTTATCCTTTTATGACATAACATTTATTTTTTTATTATATAAAATTAATACCATTAATTTTGAACATTGCATTTAGTAAGTTGAATAATATTAAATACGTAATTTAGAAAAAACATGTTAAAATCATTTAATATAGTAACATGGCGCTGTTAGCAGTTTGCTAATCGATCGAAGAGTATTAGTGAGGTCGACACTCTGTAAATGTTTTCGTACGAATTGTTTGTGCCGTGGAAGAACGTTCTCTTTCAATAAAGTATTAACAGTGTAATTTGAAAAATGGCATGGTTATGTAGTCGTGTTGCTTTCCGGACTTGTCGACGCACATTTTTGAGCGATGCTGTTAAATACAAAGCAAAGAATGGTAAGACATATAGTAAAATATATTTATATAAGTATTTTACGTTTTTATATTACGTAATATGATGGAATTTATTGGTTTTACATAATTCTTAATTCTTTTTAAGTAGATAATACAAATTTTTTTCTAATAAAATTCTTGTTCCAGGTATTCCTGAGCCATTAGATCTTGCGACAGGTATAGAAAAACGTGAATTACTTGCTGCAGCAGCCGGAAATTTTGTAAGTTTCTATGTTTAATAATTTTCTGAATCAATTAATAATTTTATATTATTTGTAACTTATATCTCAATATTAAGATTATTTCAGATAATATAAATTATTTTGATTGATATTTTAATTCATTATAATAATAATAATTATTATTATTATTATTTATTGTTTTATTGTAGGATCCATATCACATGAAAGCCTTAGAAATATCACGTGATAGCACAAGAGAATCACCAAATTTAGTACCAAGCGCATTCAAAAGTCGTATTGTCGGTTGCATTTGTGAACCAGATACATCACATGTGAATTGGATGTGGTTACATGATGGTCAACCACGTCGTTGTGAATGTGGTCATTGGTTTAAACTTACTGAAGTTGCTCCATTGTAATGTAATGTCATTTCTTGTTAATTAGTCATTTATTAAAATAATAGAATTAATATTATATAATACTACCAATTGTTTTTATTTACAACCATTTCGTGTCCTATCTTTCACATTTTATATACTTTTAAAATATTGGTATTATGCTTACTATCTTTAACATTTCTAAGTAATATATTTTAAAATGTCATTGCAATAAAATAAAATTCATTTTATAATAATATAGATTAATAAAACACATTGATATAGAAAATTATATATAAATACATTAATTTTTAATTCATGTTTATTATTGTTCTTTCCTATAAATTCTGTTAATTATCTTGAATTATTCTATATAATTTATTATGAACCATACAATTTAGAAATTATTTTATTATTAAATTTTTAAATATAACAGATATCTCTTTGCTAATACATTTTTAAATTTATGCATAAGTTACATTATTACATATAAATTTATGTTATATCTATATCATTTCAAAATTTAATGAACAAATTGTATGTGTTAATGACTATTATTTTGGTGGACTTTAAAAAGCAAAGATGAAATTTGGAATCAATGCCATAAATATAAGATGAATAATTTTTTAGCACTAAGTAGTATATTTTTAAATACCTTTTTATTTATTATACATCAGTTTATTACATATGAGTTATTCAAATATAATAATTTTAAACGATAAATAACAATATACTAAAGAAATATGTTTTGAAAACATGTTTTGATGATAGTATGTATAGAAACTATAGCATTCTGTGCAAAACATGAAATTTATTTTATATTTATATTATTTGTAAATATAATTTAATTTTGATTGTGAAATATTGTAAATATGATATACATCAATTTTTATTTTTATGCTATAAAAATCATGAATTTCATCTATTTTAAGTTCATCACAGTCATAATACAATTGTAAATTTATTTATATTTAATTTTCAAATTCACAATCATAAAAATATGACAATATTATGCAAGAATGAAATTAATAAAATTGATACTATAATAAAGAATTCATTTCATATTTTATACAATAATTATATCTACGCATTTAACTTCAGCATATAGATTTTATGAACACGAGTAATTAATTTTTTTGATATTATGCTTCAAATTTACAAAAAATTCTATAAGAATTTCTAATTTGCATTCTCATATCAATTTCAACAGAATCATAATTATAACAAATGAATAAATTATTATCATTTACATTATAATTAGGCTAATTTGTATTAATTTATTATGCTTTAGACCTTTTATTAAATAATATTGAAGATTCCTAAAAATTTGTTTTAAACACAATATACACTTTGATATTCTCTTTGGAAAGGGACGTTTCTTGTACTTAATAAATCAGTCCTTGGTCTGCGAAAGAGTAGTACATGTGGTTCTAAAAAATTATTTAAATTTAAGATAAATAATATCATGTTGTCTTAATGTACAATATAGTTATATTAAATGTAAGTATTTAGTTTATTTCATAGTTTATTTCATAATTAATTAAAATCCAAATAAATAGTAATCTAAATATGTTTAACAATAGAATTCATCAAAAGGGATAACAAACATATACAAAAAGTAATAAGTGGGATCAGATATTATCAGATTATTCTTCTATTCATAAAGTTTAATAATTCTGTAAGAATTATATGATATATGAAAAATTTAATTTGTATTCTTTAATTAATTCTTTTTTTTACAATAAGTATAGGGAAGCTATAAAGAGTTTTATTTCGTTTCTGAATTTAATATTAATATTATTATTCTTATTAGGCTAAAAAAGTAAGGTCTTTAATGAAAATATATAAATATACGGATAAATATAAAATTTGAATATTAATTATCAAATTATATATGTTATAATCAAACAATGCTATTATTATGAAAAGTACAAATATATGTATTTTTACCTGGTACATGCATCATATAATGTACCCAGCCTGGACTTTGTTGAACTCCTAAATTTCTCCATTCTGTTTCTGACATAAGATGCGTTTTTGGAACATGTCTTCCTAAATCAGCAGGTAAGATAACATGTCTGTAAAGAAACAAATATTCATTACAAATTAATACTTATTATAATTTTACAAAATTTTAATATTAGTTATGAACAATAAGTTATACTTATTTTTTTATTATATACATTATTTGAAATATTTATAGATCATTAAAATACAAATATTATAACGAATGTAAAAAAAAAAAATAGATACATAATATACATTAATTCTTTTCATATAATTTTACACTAAATAAAATGTGTAACAAGATTAAATATATACAAATCAAAACTATATATATAAAAATTTATTTCAATAGTTTATAATGCTATACGTTAAATATAATTTACATATTTTAATTTAACGCTTTAATGACTTAATATTTTAATACAAATTAACTAAATTTTTGTACAAACCTATATTCATATTTATCGTCGTTGTATTTTTCAGAATATTGTATTTGATCAGTTGGCATTTTGAATGTTGAAGTATAAAGACTTACGAATCTTTTTCTTTTATAAAATTTATGGCCATAACAGTTATATATACTCATACAATAATAAATTTCACCTTATTTTCGATGACGTCAAATCAGTTTCCGCACTCAATAAAATAGGTACTAAATTTTTTAAAAAGTTACAAATAGTAACAGCACATTTAAGAAACTAATACGCCCTCTTGTAGTTTTATCTAAATTATATTAAATGCAAAAAATTATTAAAATTGTTGTTGAAAAAAAAATCTATTAAAAAACTAAAATATTTGACAAGATATTAAATTTAATGAATCAATAGGATTTTAATATTTATTAATAATTACAAAATGCAAGATTTATGTCCACTATGTTTGAAAAACGGTGCAAAGAAGAAAATAAAATTATTGCAAATTAATTTACAAGAAGCTGTGTGGGTATGCGAAGAAGATAAGGTAGATTTCTAATATTAATATCCAGAAATATAAATGTTTTTCTTATTACTGTAATATTTTACTATTTAGTAACATAACCTCATATTCAATGCTATTTGAGTTATTCATAAGCTAAAGTGGTTAACTTCAATTTAAAATTTTTTTTAAATTTTATTACTAAATTACGTAATTGGTGTTTAACTTTTTATATTTAAATTAATTTTTCACTTTTTGTTTTGCGAAGTTAATTGATTTAGCAAATGAGAGCCTCATTTAACAATAGAAATTAATTTAAAGAACAAATATAGTTACATATTTATAAGTAGGAATATGATAATGTTATTTATTATTATATTTTTACTTTATATTAAATAATCTATTTATTTATTTTATATTTTAGTGCATATGGCCTTTTGGATATGAGAATTTTGTATTTTGTCCAAGAGTAGTAGGAAAAAATTGGTCATGTTATTGGGATGATTTTAAACCAACAATACCAAGATTAAAAGAAAATTCTGAAATATTATTAGGTAGCACACCTACAGTATCTATCAAACATACACAAAAAGAAATTATTAATAATTCAAATGTACATTGTTTAGAAGATATTAATGATATAAGTAACAATTCAAACATAATAGATTCAAAACCTAGTTTTAGTGATCTATGTACTCCTGTTTCTGAAGGACCAAATATAATATCAAATATTAAAAGTAAAGAAGATTGTAATGAAAATAAAATTTTAAATGAAAAAATTACTACTAGTAGTATAAATATACATAATAGTAGCTTGCAATCAATTGACAATGATATAAAAGTTAAAAATGAACGGGTAAATTCAGTAAATAAACAAAACAAAGAACAAAATGATATTTCTACAGAAAGTATTAAAAATATAAACAATATAAAAACAATTCCTAAAATAATAAATATTGAGGAAACAAATATTGATATTTCTGCTAGTAAGATAGAAAATAAAACCTCTATTCAAGAAGAACTAAATGAAAAGGTTTTAGATATTAATAAGTTTATAGATATTACTGACTCTAAAGTAACATCAGAAGTTAAAAAATTATCGGACTTAAAATCAACTGTAAGTATTGAAGGTGTACAAAAATCTAATTTAAATATAACTATGATGAAAATAGATGGTTTACCACCCATAACATTATCTTTTGAAATCCCTGTGTGTAATACAACTCCTGAAACAGTTAGAGCTAATATCCAACAAATTGATTATAAAAAGAATAATACAAGATCAAATGATCCAGAAACAAAAATTACACCTGTAAAACGAAATGTAACCAGTGGCAAACAATATGAAAAATTCAGTTTCAGTGTTATTAAGAAGAAAATGGAATCAAATAATTCAATCGATATTAGCAATGCTAATAATAATTCTTTAAATTTAAAGACAAATCCAAAAATTCAAGAAGTAAAAGATAATTCAACAAAAACTATTTCAAATGTAAGTGTTTGTGCACAAAATCAATTTAATAATTCTGTGACTTGTTTATCAAATCAAGAAAATGTTACATTTAATACTTCGGAAGTAAATACTAATGTAAATATAGATACAGATTTGGAAGACCTTTTAACTAGTGCTTATAATGCTTCTGAAGATATAAGTGATGAATGGATAAATTCTTTATTGTGCTGATATTGAATTAATGATGTAATTTATTATAATTAATTATTTCATCAAAACAGTATTATATAGTTTCCTATATCACGTATATTAATTAAAAATCTTAGAATAATTGTTGTAAATAGATTGCTTAATGTTAGTATAATAATATAATAATATAATAATAAGTAAATGAAATAAGATGTAAAAAATATAGATGTATGAGTTCTTTTTTAAGTCATACAATATTTAAGAAATTTAATTAAATTATTTTGTATCAACACATTTTACTAAATTGTTTATTTTTGTAGTCTCTAGATAAGCATAGTAATTAAAAATTTTATTTTCATTAACTTATCAAAATATTGTCATGTTGTAATTATTTTATTATGTAGAATTTTATTTCTAATATCATGATTGTTTTATTATAAAATTTGTTATATATTAATTTGAAATTTTGCATAATGCTTTTGATATTAATATATGATTAATATACATTAATATTATATATTTAATAGATATTCAGTATATGCAGGCACAGCTTTATTATGTAATACATTATATGTTTGAATATGTATATTATAAGTATTATAATAGTCTTTCCGATTAATTACATAATATATTTCTAAAACATTTTATTTATTTTATTTAAATCATTTGTAAATTTTAGTATAAAAATAACTTTATTTTTATACAATCCCGAAATAAAGGAAAGTATCTATACTATTTATTATTCCATGTAATCCATTTAAACAATGTAAATATTAGATAACTTTACTAGGATTATTGTATTGTTACGGATCTCTCATATCCAACCTGTACACGGCCTAGTAACAAGAGCGAACTGTAATTTTCGGAATAGTAATCCATGACCTACTAGGCTGTTCGGGCAAAGAACAATCGCGGCTGTTCTCTATAAAAAAGGGCATCTTCCACCGAAATTCAGCTAGTTGAGCTGTCAAAGTTCAATAGAGTTAATTTAATTCTACGTCGTGAACATTTGGAAACTTTCAGCAATCCAGCGATCGAACTCATAGAAGAGGAGTTCTAAGTGCGATCCGTAACAATTGGTATCAGAAGTGGGATTGCTGAATAATTCCAACCATGGTTAAATTTGTTGAACTGAAAATTCTACAGCTGAAGAAGGAGATGGAAGCCAGAGGATTGTGTGTAACTGGACAAAAAGCGGATCTTCAAGCTCGTCTTCGAGAAACGTTTGAACGTTTGGTAATGGATGTAGCAGGTCCTTTTCCTACAAGTGACGCGGGAAGCAGGTATGTACAAGTGGTTTTGGACTATTTCAGTAAGTGGCCGGAAGTTTATGCACTGACCAACCAGGAGGCAAAAACGGTTGCTGAAGTTTTCATTCAGGACTGGGTGACTCGGTTTGGAGTATCAATTGAAATACATTCGGACCAAGGTAGAAATTTTGAATCTGCTGTATTTAAGGAAATGTGTTCAATGTTGAGCATTAAGAAGACTCGAACGACAGTGTTGCACCCACAATCTGATGGAATAGTAGAAAGATTCAACCGCACTCTTGAAGAACATCTGCGGAAGGTCGTGCACAAATATCATCGGGATTGGGACAAACACATCCAGATGTTCTTGTTGGCGTATCGTGCTGCGGTGCATATAACTACTGATCATGCACCCGTTAGAGTTACGTTTGAGAGGGGCCTGAGGCTCCTAGCGGATCTTAAATTTGGAAGGAAACAAGGTGAAGCAGTGGATGAAAGTAACTACTGGGCAATATTCAAAGACGAGATGGAAAACTTGCACCATTTCCTAAGGCAAAAGACACGGCTCATGGGTGACAAGATGAAGGACCGTCACGATCAGGGAGTAAACTCTGACGGATTTAAAGAAGGTGATTTGGTATTGCTATTTAACCCGCGGAGAAGGAAAGGTTTGTCTCCGAAACGTCAAACATCCTGGGAAGGACTGTTAAGGGTGATCAAACGTCTAAATGACGTGGTTTATCGCGTTCAATCTTGTGCGAGAGGTCGTAGCAAAACGAGAGTCGTTAACTTGCAGAGACTGACCTCTTATGGCTCGAAGAATTCTGTGTGGGATCGGGACAATCAGACTTAAGCAGGGAGCAGGGAGCAGTGTTACGAGTTTCTCGTATCCACCCTGTACACGGCCTAGTAACAAGAACGAACTGCAACTTCCGGAATAGTAATTCAGGACCTATTAGGATGTTCGGGCAAAGAACAATCGCAGCTGTTCTCTATAAAAAAGGGCATCTTCTGCCGAAGTTCAGCTAGTTGAACTGTTAAAGTTTAATAGAGTTAATCTAATTCTACGTCGTGAACATTTGGAAACTTTCAGCAATCCAGCGATCGAACTCATAGAAGCGGAATATTAAGTACAATCTGTAACAATATTGTTTTCATGTTATTAAAGAAAAATTAATATAAATATTATAATTTTTTTATAACATATTTTGATATAAATAAGATGTACTCATATTTTATAGTTATTTTATGTATATCGTGTATGTTACAATATAATACAATTATGCATAAATTGTTGTGATAATGTATATAGTAAAAATTATTTATTTTTAATATAATCAGTACTGTCAAGATATCATTATTTTAGGATATTATAATTGTACATAATATATTTTGAAAATATTATCACCCAATGAAAGAAGTCTCCACATAGTTTATAATCCAGTTATTTAATAAATATAATATGTATGTAAATTTGTTTTAAATTGTCAAAATAATTATTATTAAATGTGTATTACACAATGTTACCAGAAGAGCTTATCCATGTTTTCATAATTATGAATTGACAATAAATTTATTTCTGAAGCTATTGTATTTATACAATATTCTTAAACGTAAAATATTCGTAATTTAAATTGAACTTCAAAATGCTTTAAATGAGTGACAATGAATATACAAAAAATTATATTCCAAGAAAACAAGCCTATTATACAATATAATATATCTTTTAGGAGATTCTAAAATATTTGTAGAATATAAAGTAAGAACACAGTGAAAGTGAAATTAAAATATGCAAAAAATTATTGCAAAAAATATATTTATATTGTACACTTACAGTAAATTGCAAAACAAAATGGTTATTTACCAATGAATAAAAAGACGTTTACAAGTACTTTGCATTCAGCTTTTTTCTTTGTCTTTTAAAATTTCTATTTTTCGACCTAACAAATCATATTTAGAATGATTTGGTTCTGGATCTTGATCTGTATCTGAACTACATTCACTGTCGCTAGAATCATCATAAGAACCAAGGCCAGGTAAAATTCCAATACATTTCATGCCTCCTGCTTCTCGTGTTATATCTTCATGTTGTAAAGTATCACTTTTAAATGTAGATTCACATTCAGTGACTATTTGTTCATTTATTTCACAATCTTCCTTTTTCAATGTGTCTTTATTTTCATCAGATATTTTTCTCTTAACACCTCGAGTAACATCTGCACAAATAGAATAAGTTAATATTAGAGGCAAATAAATATTAAGGATTTCTTCCTTACTACTTGCAGTATTTAACTATTTTTAATATAGTTTTAATTCTTTTAATAATAATTACTATCATTTTTCAACCTAATTTTATCAATTGTTATTATTCAAGAATTTGACATGATAAAAATTTTTAGTTACCTTGTTTTTGTTTTTCAGGTCGCTTAACTACAACACCAGCTAATAATTTTAATTGTGAAGTACGACTACTAAAAAATAAAATTTATCTTTTAATGTTAAAATATATATTATTATTAAATTAACAACAAACATAACAACAAAAATGATTATGTATTGAGATTATTTATCAAATATTATATCATAAATTTCAAAATGTTCAAAGTGTAATACTAATAATAGGAAAGGGAATTATATTTATTACAAACATATTAGATAAATTAGTATATTACCTTCCAGAAGAAACATTTTTATTTACAATTTGAGGATTTTTTAATTCTTGTTTTAATTTTTCACTTAACGATTTTTCTTGTAATGAAGCAACAGCAGCTTTGAAGTCACGCATTTCTTTTTCTTCTTCAAGATTTTTTTTACGCTCTTCTTCTAATTTTGTTCTATCTACCAAATCCAAAAATTCCACTTCATCATCATCTAAACCTTTTATCATATTTTCTATAATTAAGAATATAAGTTTATGATATAATAAAAAATATATTATTCTTTATTTAAGTGAACATATATCTATTATAAAATTTATATATTTAATTATATTCTGAAATGTTTAACTTACTTAGCTTATGTGCTTCTTCATATTCTGTGTCCCTTTTATTTTTTTGTTCTTGTAGCCGTTCATACAAAGATCTTGGATCATATGATTCTTCTGGAGCTTCTACAAAAATTAGCAGACATAGTAACAGTAATCAACTTATAGTAGCTAAAATATAAATAGAAAATATAAAGAATAGAGAAACAGCATTTGTTATAATGTTTATTTCAAATATGATATAATTTCTATGTACATTTGTTGCAATAAAGATAGCTTTTTTATATTTTAGCAAATAAAACAATTAAAAAATGTTAATTTCATAAACAATTTTTTTCAATTTACCCTTTATGCCATAATTTGTTTACTACTGTATATATTTCAAAAATTGAAGACAGAATTTAATGAATGTATATTGTTTATAACACATAGTTAATAATAATATCTATAATATATTAAAACAAACAAACAAAAGATGTATATATATTCCAATTATTATAAAAATTGTAAATCACAGAATAATGAATTTTAAAAATTCTATTTTTTAATGTATATTATAGTTTAGGAAAGAATTACATAAATTTATTGTTATCATATACTATTATAATTTATGATAAATAAATTTAAGAAAATTGACACAATTGTTATGTTGTAACAATCCAATTATATTTTAAATCATCCATTAATGACAGAAAGGATAAAAATAAAGACTAAGTACTATAATTAATTTTAAACATATTATAGTTTTATATTAATTAAACATATTCCTAGAATAAATTGTTAAAATATAATATATAATGAAAATAATAGAAACCTAATGGTTGGTCTGCAGTTCGTACACGTTCCCATTCTTCTTGTCGTATTCTTCGCTGTTCTGCAATCTCAGCTTCAGATATAAATCCTGAACTCATTATGAACTAAAAAAAAATGTTGAGATACAAAATTTTTATTTTTAGTCATTTAAAATATCATATACAAGTAACATTAAAAATTTATTTGCTATGATTAATATTTCTTTAAATAATGTATTGAAAATAGTAATATATTCCTTATTTTATTAATATTAACAATTACATTGTACATTCAATAAATTATATAAAATTCAATAAATCATATAAATGAAAGATAATTCATTCATATGATTATAATGTTTTACTATAATTAAATGGCTAACATTATGTAAGAAAACATAAATAAATGAATACTTTTATTACAATCAGCAATGTCATATATTACATAGTATTTGATATATAATACACGCATATTTTTACTAAAATTTTTGTATTAATACTTACCACTCCTATCTATAGTAATCTTTGACAGATTATACAAATATTTAATAGCACAAAGAATATATGTTTTCAATGTCTGTGAAGTTTTTACTTTTATGAACACTCAACACTTATAATTAGTTATTCACTCTTCACCATAATTAAATATCGAAATTTGTTCAAAATAATTTTTATTTAGGTTTTATATTTAATACTTTAAATTAAAAGTTTCAAACATTAAATTAAATGATTTATAGCATTAACATTTTTCTAGGAATATTTGGCATTCTGTATTTTAGTCGTAAAACCGTCTTTTTTAAAATTTATTAGTTAGCAATAAGACGCTACAAGATGTTAATTACTTTTTAATTTAGTTAAAATATTCTTAATATATAGACAAATTTAATGATGTTTTCAAATTAGTAAATGAAGATAAATATTTAGTACTTTTTGAAAAATATAGAGGTTAAGTTCTACATTTAAACTTGTATAATTGTAATTGAACACTCATAAATTGTATATTTTATTACAAATAGATCACTTCTTTTACACAATTAACGTCAGACTGAACAATATTTTGCATTACCTTATCATTACCTATGTCACGAAAACGATGTCCCGCAAATTAACTGCTCGAAGTTAACCAAGCTTTACACGCATGCGTAAAACATTACACAAATGTTATATACGTGCACATTCGAGTGTGTGCAAAATATAAATGTCGCTATATGTAATTATGATATTAGATAATTTTAATGCATATTTTATACAGTATTATACACTAATTTAACGAAACTATATTACATAATAAATTATATAATTTTGTCTAAATTATATTTATAATATATACGATTTACTCATCACATTAACACAACAGAACTAACAGAATTACTTTAAATTATTCAAAAATTCTACATTCTATATTAATACGGAGTAATAACATATATAAAAATAACAAAGCTCAGTAATTATGACTCATGTTGTGCATTTCTATAACTTAGAATGAGGAGAATAATAAATTTAAAAAAATTATTTCAAATATTTTTATTTCTTAAGTAAATTATACATAAGTTTCTGGGAATTCGAATGTTACATCCCGACCTGTTAACTTCTTATAGACAGCTACAAAGGTGTTAACCTAGTAAATAAAACATTGCTTTAGATACTACATATCAATTATTAATAGAAAATATAAAGATAGTTAATTTATGTTTTCCTACTACGGAAATAAAAATGAAATTTTAAAGATTGCATTTTAAACTAATATTTAACATTAAAAATACATTTACCTTATGTTCAATGTTCGTTTGTTCATTTTTATCTAAATGAACTTTAATAAGTTGTTTACCATCAAGTTTAATTCTGATGCGTTTTCCAACAATCTCTACAGGATATACTAAATCTTCTAATAATGCATCGTACACTGCAGTTAATGTACGGCTAAAAAACAAATTTAGTATATATTTATTATCAATATATATAATAGTACATATGAACACAAGTTATTAATATTTTTGATAATATAATCTACCTTCTTGGTCTTTTCTGCTTATTTTTAGTACGTGTTTTCCTAGTTGGTTTAGGCAAAATTTTACGTTCTCCAACAAACATAACATGTTTCCCAGAAAACTTTTTCTCTAATTCACGTACAAGTCTAGTTTGAATTTTTTGAAATGCCTTCAACTTTGGCATAGGTACATATATAATGATGCACTAGAAAAAAAATATTAATTTAATTTATATAATTACATATTTGTTTAAAAAATTTTATTTTCATTTCAAACATCATGTAAAGTAACTAAAATTATTTAGACTCTAGCATGAGTGTTATCCCCAATACAATATCTCTTATAGATATTTAATTATAAATGTTGTTTATTACTTAGTATTTAAACAAAATTGATATATATTCACAATCAAAATTATGCAGCATTATTGACAGAAGTTATAAAACTGAACTACTATTTTAAGCTAATAGAAATAAAGATAAATTATACAAATAGAGTATCATACAAAATAAAATGTTGTTTTACCTTCTTATCATTTGTAATTTCGATTTCACGTGCTTTAGTAATATAAAGTTCTCTTAATTGTGACTTTAAATCACTATTCATTTCCAGTTCCAGTAGAGCTTGGGAAATGCTGGCTTCGAACGCATCAGGTTCAGCATCACCACTTTTTATTATTTTAGGATTTGCAGTATACATCTAAAAAATATTTAGAGGTTAAGTTCTGTTCTTGTTTATACACAGATACTTTTTTAAGTTTTAAACAATTATTTTATTTATAACAATTTTAATTAAAAGAAATATTTCATGTTAATTTTGTAAAATAAATAAAAATATAATCTTAAAGTTAGATATTATGAACTACAATATGCTGTCAAACATAGTAAGTACATTGTAACAAATAGAATCCAATATTATCAAATTTTATATAAATGATCCGAAAAAATATATTAGTTTATCTAGTAAATTGCAATGTTACGAATAACATGCAAAGTTTCATTTAATGTTTTCTAATTCATTTTAACTTTGTTTTTAGCTAAAAACTGAACTGTTTTTCGCGTGTACCTTAATGATATCTGCACCGAGTGAAAAAGATCCAACATACCCATAGATAGATTTACCAACCGTTCTATTCACAAAATGTCTCTATATCTTTAGTCATATTTATATAACTATAATTATTTAATATATAGCTCATAAGTATAATTTTTCATTCGGCATTGTGTTATTAATTACGTTTTAACACATACTTTCAATTAATTAATTTTTATCTAAAATTATTTCCTGGTAATTTAGTTACAGTATTTTCGTTAAATTTATATTTTCTCAAAAATTTGTTTTTAAAATATTTAAATATTTTGTTCTATAGAAAGAATTACGAAAAAATTAAAAAGAAACGTTTGATATAATTATAATACTTTTATAGATACATACCAATTATATATATGCATACATGTATTTTATATTTAAAGCTTTATGGTAATTTTTTAAATAAAATATCTTAATAAACCATAATGTTATTCAATATTTTGTCATTGAAGCGATTTTTAAGTGTTTTTGGTCTTATAATATATTTGTTAATTTTTTGAATGGATTTTATTTTGTAATTTAATATTGAAGATGTATTCAGTAGTGTATATTTAGTTCAGAGTATTGCCATAGAACATGGTATTTTATGTAATTCAGAATATACTATTTATTGAAATGGAATGAAATATTAAATAAGTTTAAATAATGAAATAAAAAGATTAGACAAACATTTAAGTTGTGTATCAGTGAAAATATGGAAGATTTAGAAAGTGCAGAAGAACAGAAACAGAAAAAGATACCTTTTTCCATTCTTGGAGAACCAGTAATTAAAACATATTGTCAAAGAAATGCTTTAATGAGTGCTATATCTGGAGGCATAATTTGTGGATTAGTAACATTTTTGTTTACCAGTAATCCATCAAGGTCTACACGTATAGGAATGTACAGTTACTTAGGAATAGGATGTACTTATGCAGGCTTTTGTGCATATGAGGAGTATACATTGGGAAAACAAACAAGAGAACTTAAAAAACTTCTATATAGAAGATCTCGTTTAGTAAATAACGAAGACACAGGATAAGTTGATTCCATAAAGTTTGTTGAAATTGGTTTAGACTCTTGAAATTTATGAAAACTTGTATGTACATATATAATTTTCATGAGTCATGGAAACTATAAAAGTAAATTGTGTAAGCGATATTTCTGTAACAAATTCTTACTTTATGTTTATGTATTTGTTTGTAATATTTTATTAGTAATGTAATATGTATAATAAAAAGTAAAGTGATATAAAAATGTTATTTCGTGTATATAACCTAAACATAAATAATAAAGCTCAAACATATAAACAATATTATAATCAATAATAATAATATGTAATTAACACTATTTAATTAAAATGTTGTTTGTGTTTTATTCATGTTGATATTATTAAATGTCTTATTGGATATATTATTATTTAATGCATGCTATTTGAATTATTTAATTTATAAATTAATTATATATATATATATATATATCCTTTTGGATTAGCAATTAATATATTTCACTATATGTATTATGTTAGTTTAGTTATATATAATTTTTCATGTGTAGATGATTAGGTACATTGATAATAAAGGTAGATTTAAACAAGGAATTAGTAACATATTTTATTTAATGTATAAATAAATGATAAATTTAAATACCACAAATATTTATCAATATTAACAATATATTTTTTAAAATAATATAAAGAAGCTTATAAATTGAATTGTATGTATAAAATTCGATAAATATTTATAATATTTAAGATATAAACAGGTAATAAAATTGTTATTTTTTGTATGTTTCTTTTCATTTTTTTAATATTTTATTACATATGGTATGAAATAACTATTTAAATATGAAATTATGTTGTAAAAAATTTAATTGCTTACTATAATATGTACATATTATAGATCTGTAATATTTACGCATACAAGAGTAATTTTTTATGTAAGTTTAGTAAGTTGTTTAAATTTATGTTTCAAAAATTTACAGTAGATGGTGCTGAAGAGAATGTAGTATTAGGCGAAATTCTATCTGCTGTATGTTCATTGGTGTTTGACGCTTGGTAGGGTGTGTATGACATCACGACGCATGTTTCGTACTATCGAATATGCTGAGTGACAGGTGGTGTAGTAGTTCTGTTACGTACTGTGTATCGAGGATACAAGTCGTATCCTCGCGTCACGCGATCGGCACGTTGTCATTCGTAGGTGTCAGTGTTAAGTTTTGTGATGCATACCACGATTTTACGCAATCTACTTGAGAGATTTAACTCTGTGAGAAGAGGTGAGTTTGTTACTTTAAGTAATATTAAAAATTCAGCTCTTTAAAATCTGATGTTATCTTTATATACATGCAGATGAACAAAATTTTGTTGAAATAAGAGGAAATCTCCATGATGCTTTGTGTTCTGTGTTTTAAGTTTTATAGGTACATCGATAAATTTTTACCGACAAACTCTTTTGATTATTTATCCAATAGTATTTATTTATATACGAGTATAGTTTTTAAATCGTTTAAATATTTTTTTATCTATTTCCCTTAACTCGCTTAAAAACGTTTAGATATAATAATTAGGTAATTTATGGTTGCATTTTATGAAAATGTGTGATTTTAATACGTATGTAAAATGAGAATTCGAGGACGATCGAATTTGCTTAGGACTTGACGACATTTTACATGTAAATAATGAATGTAATCTTTAATCTTCCATATGTGTTGTCTATCATTTTTGTATGGCATTTATTATAAATCATTACGACAGCAAGCAAAAGAGAGACTGGACACAATCTTGGGCAAGGTTTGATAATATTTATGGCAAGTTGTTGGTATGAAAAAGAACAATTTATTTTTTCCAGTGTTTTTGAGACAGCTATACAACAGGCCAGGCATAGAGCCGCACGGAATTTTATTTCTGTGAGTAAACACGAGTGCATTACAATACGATTTTCAAATACTTTTTGGCAAAGAGGTGTTTACAAAAGGTTAAGGTGCATGCATAACGCATTTGGGGGTTTTTATCTTTCTCACGATCAACTAACATTGGTTTATTATTTTCATTTCTTTGCTTTTTTTCTTTCTCTTTGATTTTCTTTTGTTTTTAATAAAATAGAAGTGATTTTACATTATGTGTATTAAAAGTTGTGTTATATGACATATGTAAGTTGTTTAAGTGAACGTAAATTTGGAAAGGTTAGTTCAACTGAGTGAATTACGTTTATAGTAACTTTATATTGACTAATTTTCATTGGAAATTGAAAAATTAAGACACAACTGCCTTATATCAATATATATCTGTCTTAAATATTACACGAGGTTAAGTCGTGCAATATGGTTAAAGTATATTATCTGTTACTTCGTATTCCAATGCTATAACTAATTTCCGATAATACCACGAGCGAGTGCCTTTTGTGCAAACCATCAGCTCTTCAATATTTCGGTCAGTATCGATTGCAGGATGTGAAACTGGGTAGGGTCCCCCATTTGAAATATCACAATGCGGATTCTAGTTTTACATATCTTTTCTCTTTCAAAGTTTTTCAAAATAATATAGTAAGTAATGGTTTCTTTTTTTAAAGGTAAATCAACGTACAATATTAATTTTCAAATTCTGGTATATAATATTATATTGTTATTTTTACAGTCCTTTTAGAGACAAATATATTTGTATATATACCATATTAATAATCCAAATCTTCAAGCGGCGTAATTTTGTAATCGTATATAAAGTCTAAATCGCATAAATTTAGCAAAGTTTTTGTTCATTCTGTTCACATACATGTACATATATTTGAAATATCCTTGAGAAATAAAATAAATATTCGTAGACTTTAATAATTTTAATATTGCTTTTACATTAGTTGGTGTTAATTATAAAATTAAAGGAAAAGCAACATTTTATTGTACGTTAATGTATTTATGAAAAAATACAAATATTCAAGTTAGCGACATATCTAATTATTTTCCAAAAAACAACGAAAAATGTTATCCCAAGTATAAAGTAAATTACATAGTAAAATAATTATCATAATTATAAGATTAAGGAAATAGAATTTTCGATAACAAATTTTAAATTTCTTAAGAAATTTTGTATACAAATCGGCAAATTTAAGATTGATAGTATTCAACCCATTTTTGTTGAATTAATATATTATACGAATTTTGCAGAAATATCATTTTTCCTACTCAATGAAAGATATATCATTATATATTCTCGTTTATTTTTTTTTATTCTACTAGCGTGGAAATATGATTAGAATGGTCATTGATTTGTAACGAATCTTCATAGTCAACGGTTGTTGAGCACCACTTTTATATTTTTACGTTATTACTGCTGTGAACCATTGTGAACTAATTATTTTAATAATTTGATATGATCGAAGGTCAAGAAATGTTCCCACGACCAAGAAATCGGTAACACTTCCCAAACAAACAGGGTTCATGCATTCAGAGTGCTCTGAATATGGCGAATTGGGCCAGTGCCATTTATCGCCCTACATCTTGGAATCACGACATACCGCCACCTTTCACCATTGATTTGATGTATTTAAGGTTAAATTCCTTGCTAAGGTTTTGCCTCTCACCTGTACCTTTTCGTCTGTTTGTGAGTATTATCACGATAACGTAAATTCTCATTAACGTTTCTTGCTTGTTAGGAAACTTATTGAAAAGTTGGAAGAGCGAGATGTATCAGATGCTTCGATGGTTGTAACAGATAATTCAATCGTGTTCTTTCATAGAAATACAACGTATTCAGTTTGCATTTTAGTAGACAACGTTTGCTTCGTTTTCTTGGAGAGAAACTTCAATTGGTTCATAGACATTATAAATCAAAGAGTTTGTATCTATGTACAAATAATATTTAGCAGAAATTGACCTTCTAAAACGTTATGTAATCTGGAAGTTAAATATTATCGTATTTTATTAGTATTCGACTAGTTTGGGTAGTAAGGAATTGAATATCCTTTGTTATTCTTCAGATTTTTAATATTTTTATAATATTAAGATTAAGGTATTCTTAATATTCTCGAATATTCAATTAAATTTGAATTTATTACAATTATGATTTCGACGGTCCAGATGAAAGTACAAAATCATAATTAATCCCTCTTTTTTAGATCTTTGGAAGTTTGTTTAAAAATATCAGTTATATATTCTATTACTTCCATTATGTAGTTAGTATAAATGAATTATTTGGTAAAGTTATTGCTATATTCAATATAGACGAGAAATAGAGATTTTAAATGTAGGCTAATTATAATTACAAAATATTATTATGTATTAAATATGAGTAAGTAAGTAGTAGAGATTGGCAACGAGTAGATTGAAATTAGTTACTTATAAAATTGAAAAATTTATAATAAGATTTTTGAGAGAGTCACCAAAGAGTTACAAAAACTTTTTGAACAATTTATAAAGATAGCTTTCAGCAGTTATGTTGGTTATTTAAAATTTTTAAGTTTATTTCTTTATCTATTTCCTACAGAAAATTACAATTCTACACATTTCTTTGATTATGATTTTATAGTAAAATGATGTGCGAATTTTACCTTTAGATGTATTTTATGTTGCATCGGTGATATTTCTTGCAATACTGCGTCCACTTCGCTCATGCGTACCCACACGCGTGGATACACAGCATCATCGTTTGAGAACTTCCGTTCATACCAATGAAAGTACTCAATTGCCCAATGGTACCTGTTGTGAACCATTAACCTGCATCGAGAACACGTATAAAGGGAAAGCTCGAATTGTGCGACATATTTAAGCGAACATTGTAGAGAATAAAATTGAATAATTATTTCTTATAGAAGTTCTTAAAACTATTGCTAAATAGTTTCACTGAAATATTAGTAAGCATTAATCTATAAAAGGTGAGGAAGGAATAAAATATTTATATTGTCTATTAATCTAATTAAAATTATAGATTTACATTTGCTTTCCTAGTAAGGATCAGAGCTTTCTTAGTAATGCAACTATTTTATTTAATTTCTATCAATTGACTAAATAATTATTAAAATTAGTAGTATTTCCGATATGATTGGTAAAGTA